ATTTAATATAATTGAAATTAATCATTTTAATTTTTTTCGCGTATTTTCTTTTAATTAAATTTAGTTTACTTAAATTTGACTTTATTTTATTTAGTGTTGTTATCCTTTCCAGTTTCAAGCCGCTTTATTGCAACGCTGGAATCTGCCGTGGTTTATGTGTGGCTTTTGTCCTTTTATACAGGCATTAACTGTTAACGTGTCAGTTTTCACGCTCACTGCAATTGCCATCGACAGGCATCGCGCCATTATAAATCCGCTTAGGTGAGTTTTAAGTAAGTCTAGCCGACATATTTTGGGTGTAAAAGTGACGAGCATAAGGTCGCTCAGCGTTAGCAACAACCTCATGTTATCTTAATGTTAATTATTCTGTGAAATGTGGAAATTAAATTCGCAACCAAAATCCTAATTTTGCTATCTAAATTCGATATTTAAATTTCGAACATTTAAATTTATCAGAATTAAAGCTACCATTAATTCCCGACGCCTTCATATCTCCCGTCGTTTAAACGACAGCTATTCCACAAAAATTTAGATAACGTGACTAAGCTTGAAAAGATCATTAAAATTCTTGGCCGCAAAAAGTTGCCGAAATTGTGCAAATAAATTTGGGTTCCTCTCATTAATTCAAAGCTCTTTCACGAAAGTAGTTAACAATCAAATATCTTCTGCTGAAAAACGATATAAATGGTTCGTGGGTGGTTATTTATAGCTTCTATTAATAATATCACAGCATGCTTTTGTTATATTGAATAATAAATATTTATTTATATTGTATTATTCCTAAGGGCGCGACCTACAAAATGGGTGTCCAAATTAATACTCATCGGCATTTGGCTGGCAGCATTTCTATTCGCCACACCCTGTGCCATAGCATTTCGCGTTGAAGTGGAGCATGAGCGCTACAGAGGTAAGCACGTGTTTATATTGCATTTTATTTACATACTTAAACAGGGTTGTCTATGTAGAGATTTCTTTTTAAGGAATTAAAAAATTACTCAATTTTAAATAAAATGTGTACAATATGTACATTATATGAGAAGCAGAAATATTATGAAGAGTAGTTTAAGCAACGATTTTATTCAAGTAACAGCCTCAGTAGGTTTGTGTTAGCATATCATAGCAACGCATTTTGTTAAAAACTAGCTAACAATCTGATGGCTTGCTCGCCATTCCGCTTGAAGTTATCTATTGTTAATGGCTGCTTTGCCTAAAATTTCCTGCCAACACTGCTAGTGAAAATTTCATAATACTGCAGCGGCTGATTATCAAACTTAATAGCCAAACTTTCATATTGCCAAKTTTTATTAAGTGTGATGCTAGTGGAACCTCGGATTGCATAAATCCCTGTCGGCAGTTCTCGCACACGAAAGATTTGTATTTAAAGCAGCATTTTTCAGCTTTCTAGTAGCAAAGTGCTTGCGTAAAAACACCACCCTGTATAACAAAATTTTTATTTTTACTCACTACTTTCACTTCGATGTGTGTGTTTTTTTTTTCAGAAAACGGCATTATTGTCAATGTTACCCGACCATTTTGCATGAATAAAAACCTTTCCGAGAAGCAATTACAAGCATACCGTTACACGTTGGTGTTCATGCAGTACTTTGTGCCGTTTTGCGTCATCAGTTTTGTCTACATACAAATGGCGGTGAAGTTGTGGGGCACACGAGCACCAGGCAATGCACAGGATACGCGCGACATAACACTTCTGCGAAATAAAAAGAAAGTAAGTCAGCGGAAAAGTCCGCACATCTGCGTGGATTTCATTTCATTGAGTGAGTGTGTATGAAAGTTGTATGTGCGTGTGTGGGCGCGGGTGTGGGTGTGCGCACGTAGAGCTCAAAAGCTGAAGGATTTCCGCTAGCTTAAGACCTGCAACGGGTGTTTATATTGTTATTTGTTTTCGATATCATGATTGCTAAATACTTATACCATGAATAGGGTGTTTTAAATTATTAAGACCCAGAAGGAAATATTAGGGTAGCTTTAATGTATTTATATAAATTGTTTAGCGCTTTTCGTTCGTCAATCTGTTTGTCTTCTACTTCGTCTGACTCTATATAAGCGAACAAGTCGCTCTGGTTTTGGAATAACGTTATAAAACTTCGCACTCTTCAGTTTCTTCCCAAGAAAAACTGCTCTTTTGTTGGAACCGCCGATATAAGACCACTATAGCATATACTTGCATCAAAAACTGTTTTATTTGACGAGATATACTCATAATACAATACTCACAGTACAATCTCCGAAGAAATTTTTCAGATCGATCCGCTACAGCATATAGCTGCAGTACGAACTACCCAATCAAAGTCAAGTTAAAGATCTCTTTTTACCCTCTTATGCTAGGGGAAATGCATCGGTGAATGGTATCACAGCTTCTATTAACTTGTTTATTTATTTTGTTTTCTTTTTTCATTCCTCTATTCAATTTATCATATATTTTCTCGCTTAATCTAGTTAAAATCTAATTTTATTTGTATTTCTTTATTTCTTTTGTTTTGCTCATCTGCTGACAGGTTATAAAAATGCTTATTATTGTTGTAGTCGTCTTCGGGCTGTGTTGGCTGCCGCTGCAATTGTATAATATTTTGTATGTGACGTTCCCCGAAATAAATGAATACCATTTCATCAGCATAATATGGTTTTGTTGCGACTGGCTGGCGATGAGCAACAGCTGTTACAATCCGTTCATTTACGGAATTTATAATGTGAGTAAATTAAGATTAATTATTAAATTTTAATAAGGAGCTTAACCAAAAATTAATCGTAAGATGCGGTTGAAATCTAAATTAAATTCACGATGGCTCATATACCTGATAAACAGAGAGATTCAAAATAGTTATGGCTGAAAAACAAGTCAACTGTTTTAACAAATTATAAATGATTTGGGTTGAGTGATATTTGTTTTAAAATTTGGTAAACACAAAATGCTTTGGTTGAGGATCATGTTTAGAAATTAGTAATATTGGGTAGTCGAAAAAGTATTTTCGTATTTAGTCAATAGATATCGTTGCAGTCGTACACCATATCTCCAGTGCTACTAATCACATTATGTCATACCAATATTGTTGAAAAGGTTAGGTCTTAAGCTTCATTTAACCAAAAAAAAAAATTACATCTGGGGAATCTAAAAAAAATTACAACTGTTCAAAATGAGTGGAAATAATGAAGAAATTCGCTATATTTTGAATTTTTTTTATAAAAAAGAGAAGAATGCCACGCAAGCCACGAATGAAATTTGTGAAGTTTACGCAGACGATGCTGCACCAGTTCGTGTAACACAACAATGGTTCGCCCGCTTCTGTTCTGGAAATTTTGATGAGAAGAATGCATCTCGCTCTGATCGAACTATCGCCGAAAGAGTCGATGAAATTATGGAAAATATTGACCACGACCGTCACATAAGCAGCCATGACATCGCTGAAGAACTTAACATTCATCATCAAACGGTTTTGAACCATTTAAAAAAGGCTGACTACAAAAAGAAGTTAAATGTTTGGGTACCGCATTAATTGTTTGGGACAAATTTAATGGACCGAATTAACATCAGGAAATTGAACGAAAGATTTTTCTGGAGATTCCAAATTTCTGTGTGGTATTCAACAGAATATATTCTGTCAACTAACTTTAGTCCAATATATTGAAATCTGGCAGTCATGAAACCGTAAAAATTCCTTTTAAGTCTCTGCTGGGTGGTTTTGCCTCATAGCACATGAGAGCATTGTTAGCAAAATGTATGCTCTCTATTTTCTCTTAATTGCTTTTTTCACAGAAATGTAACAGGACTGATAACAGGTTGTGAAAAGAACGCTACCTTTAAGTTAGAGTGATGCTTCAACCACTGTAAAAGACACGTCTAATGCTCGTCCGAAATAAAAAAAAAAAACACTAGCAATATACCTAACTTGGCGAACTAAATACATATTTACTATATTATATTAATTAGATTTTTGTATTTTAATAACAATAACCCTTTATATAACAAAAACAAAGTACCTAACTGCCGATTATTGATTAATTGAATTGTGAAATCCTTTAATAACACACGCTCTTGCATGGTCTACATTTAACAGGAGAAATTCCAGCGTGAATTCAATAAACGCTTTGCCACATGCTTCTGCAAGAAACACAAGCTGCTGGATGTGCCGGAGCGCACGCAGTCCGTGCATACACGCGTCAGTTCCATACGCTCCGGCAGTGTGCCCAACTCATCCATGCGGATACGCAGCAATTTGCACGGAGGCGTGAATGGCAATGGTGGCAGCATATCGGCAGCAAAGCCACAGACAGCAACAGCAAATATCAATACCGCTACACACGAAATCGGACACAACGATAATGCCGAATCATTAGAACTAACGAACCTCGATTCAAAAACTCAAAGTGGTATTGGAAGTAATAACAACAACAACAACAACAGCAACTATAATACAAATCCTTACGGCAGCAATGTCAATGGCATGCAATTGCAAGCCGCTGAAGTTATCGCCGGCGAGCACACATGTGTGGGCGAAACGGACGCATTGATAGAGCTTAAAGCGTTGTCACATAATGCGTACGATGTGAGTAACAGCATATAGTGCCGCACAAGTGGCCGTTGAGCACTCTAGCGCTAAGCTAGTGCTGTCAAGCGTTATGTTTATTAATATGTATGTGTGCGTGCGCTGCTTGAGCGTAAATATTCCCAGCCAAGTGTTTGGGTGCTTACATTAAGGTTTTATGCCATTGAGTGGGAATTATGAGCTTGGTCCTGCATTTAAGTATTATTATTGCGTTTATTGATAGTTGTAACATGGAAATATATATCGTATGCTTTTGTTTAAGTGAAGCAGTTAAGTCGTAGCTAATAATTCATTGCATAACATTTTGTTACAAAATTTGTCGTTATTTTATGCCAACAGCAACTTGTAAAATAATAATTATACAACTGTGATCGAAATAAATTTTCTTATAGAAATTTAAAAAGAGTTTGTAGTAGAAAGGGAAAACAAGCAAATGTATAATGTCACAAAAAAAATTTTGGAAAAATTTTAATAAAAATGGAAAAATAACAAAAATTTTATGTAAGAAAAAAATTTTGGAAAAATTTAAAATTGTGCGCTAATCTGTCTTCACAATCTGGAACATAATTTTAGTAACACCACTGCGTATAGGTAACTTACTGCTCAGTATTAACAGTATTAACGACAAACTACTTCTCCACGCATATTTCTAATTAGTAACAAAATACAAACCCAATGAATAAATAATTCGAAAAAATATAATTTTTAATTAAATATTGACAAATTATTTGCAGAAAAAAGCAATACCCATACTTTTTACACCCAGTGTGACAGCCTAAAGAAAGGACTTTTCGGCAAATAAAAAAAAAAAAAATCAAAATTAAAATTATTTAAAATTCGGGTGCATCTGAATATATTATACTTTTTTAAGAATCAAAGCTAGGGAAATACTTTATAACGTAAACCGTCAACCTAAGAATCGAAATCCAAGCAATTTTATTTATTTTTTTTTTAATTTTTTT